AAATGAAGAAATCAAATAAATATTTTTGCACATAACATCTGATGATCTTCGCAAATGCTACTGAGTTTGAGCCTCAATTAGTTTCTGCTTGCAAAATGTTTAAAATGGCATTTCCTAAATATAAATAAGTTATTTGAGTGAATATTTACTTATAATGACGTATATGTCATCTGTCAGGGGAATATTCTCTAACCAGACAAAACATCATCTAAAGCTACTTCACTTTGAATTTTCCTGCCTAAACCCTTTTGCTTGCATCAGTTAAAACCCGTCTCTCTGTTGTGTTTTCACCCAGCTGTGTGGGAAACAAACCTGTCTCCATGAGTCCTCGCAGCCTTCTCTCCACCACAGCAGCTCTGTTGTCGATGTGCTTCTGCTCCGTCTCCAACGCTGCCAGCTCGCTCAACACGTACTGACTGGTGTCCTGCAGACACTGACCACAAGCACCACACACACACACACACACACACAATGCAAACACACAAATATACATAAACATAACCAGACAGCCACACAAAAAGAAAAGGAGGGAGACGAGAGCAAAGGAAGAAAAAGGCGATCAAAAGATTAGAGGAAAGCCAAAGATTTGTGGCAAATTAAGCTTTGAAATCCTTTACAACACCCTGATTAAAGGTGATTTTACTAAAACGTAGCTTACTGTGAGAAACAGATACAGAGTTAAAAAGGGAAAAGAAAAAACAAATAACTGACCATTGTTTCTTCCTCGTGTTTAGAAGACTGGGTCTCAGCTACAATCTGCAACTCTGCAAACATTAGAAACTAATGTGAACCACAGATATAAGAGTGAAAACAAAGAAATTAACTGAGAGAACTGTATGTTAAATAGCAGGACGATGCTGAGTGCTGAATGACGGCTAAAACTGTATCAAAGCTGAGACTTAGTTGTTTACTGAGCCCGCGAGGGGACGTGGGGAATATTTATTCTTTTTGTGTTCCCACGCAAAAGTATTGCGTTACCTCGCACTACCTTTTGTGTTCCCTCGCAAAAGTCGTTTATYACTGTTGTGCCTGCCRGTTTATTAACAAACTCACATGTTCACCATTAGCAAGTTAGTCTACTGCTTTAATTCAGCTTYAGAATGAATATATCACACAACCATGCATGGAAGTWTGTCAGATGCCGATATTTCAACACAGTGCAGCCACGCAACATCAATGTCAATTTCATTAACTTGTGGCGACACATCCTGTTTTGGTAACTGGATATTTCAAAATAAAAGTCTGATTTAATTCAGTTCGTATACAAATCAAACTTTTGCATGGGAACGCAAAACAATATTGCGAGGTAACGCAAAAGTATTGCGAGGGAACGCAAATGTATTGAGAGGTAATGCAAAAATATTGCGAGGGAACGCAAAAGTATTGCAAGGTAACGCAAAAGTATTGCAAGGTAACGCAACAGTATTGTGAGGTAACGCAAAAGTATTGTGAGGTAACGCAAAAGTATTGCAAGAGAAAGCAAAGGTATTCCGAGGGAACGCAAAGGTATTGCGAGGTAATGCAAAAGTATTGCGAGGTAATGCAAAAGTATTGCGAGGTAACGCAAAAGTATTGCGAGGTAATGCAAAAGTATTGCGAGGTAACGCAAAGGCATTGCGAGGTAACGCAAAAGAAAAAAAAACTCCCATGTCCCCTCGCAGGCTCCGTAGTTGTTAAACTAAATGCTGAACAATATAGTGAAAAAGATTAAAACTAAAATCTAAAGTAGTGAAATGCTAGATATCTAAATGTAGCAAAACACTAGGCAAAACTAAATGTAGCAAAAAGCAAGCTAAAAGCTAAAAGCTAAAAAGAAGAAAAAGGCTGGCTAAAAGTAGCAAAACTGTTGCTAGACGCTAAAAGTGGGAAAAGGCTTGCTAAAAGCTAAGGTAGCTAACAATCTTGAGTTACACACCTGTCAAATTAGTGTTTTCTGTTGCAGGTTTACTCTTTGACTCTTCATTCTGTAGAAAAAAATACAATGTTTAAGCAGCATATGTAAAATTTACGCAGGGTACTCAGTTTAATTTTATATTTTATACAATTTGAATTAAGAAGAAGTAAGAAAAAAAGCAGTCACCTCTCCAGATTTTGCTGTTTTGGTAACTGATCTGGGTGGAGGCACCGGATATATTGACTCATCTGTTAAAAACATAATGAGAGAAGTCAGAGGTGATGAATAATGTTTTATATTAGGCTGAATATAATTTAAATAATATTTTATAAAGCATAGAAAACGTAGCTCAAAACGTGTCAAAATATTTCATATTACAAATGGCATTTATAGAATTTTTTACAAATTTGACGGTAAAATCTGCCCCATCAACAACATAGTGTTACTTTCCCCTCACGTTACACAACAAAGCAAACACTAATATATACAACAGTAAAATGAGCAGAATTGTTTTGACTGAACAAAGCCTGTGTTCTTGAACAAACTCATCAAACAGTAAGTCTTTGAATTGTCTCCTGAGAGAAATGTTGATTTTCCATCATCATTTATAACTGCTGAAAGAAAATTWTAAAACACATGCTTTTTTTCAGCTAATGCATATAATTTAAACACATTCTGTGTAAGTTACTCAAAGAAACAACAAATTGTCCTCTTTATTGTTTAGTTAAAAACAGCATTGGTCAATGAACAAAGAGAAATATCGGAAAACGGACGTTTAACCAGGGGAGCTGAGTCTTATGGTAAAAATGGTTTGAACTTATATAGCGCCTTATCAAGTCCACTTGGACCCCAAGGCACTTTACACTTCAGACATTCACCCATGCACACACACATTCACACACTGAACTGTCTTGTCTTATACCTTTAACRGCTCGTTTAATTCTGGGTGGCGGGACGACCAGCGTGCTGCTCCCTCCTTCCTCCAGGCTCACGCCTTCGTTCAGCCGGGCCATGCAGAAAGCCGCGGCGTCGACTTGGGCGGGGTTGGCGGGGGCGAGGCCGTAACTGGACTGACTGCTGTTGTGCTCGATCTGCAGCACGCTCAGCTCCTGGTTGGTAAAGTGAGAGCGAATCTGGCTGAGGTAGGTCATAACGATGAGCCTGTCAGGCACCGACAGGAGGACCATGTCGGACGGCTCCAAAAGGCGAGAGACACCCAGCGACTCGAAACCATCAAAAGCCTGAAATTAGGAAAGTGAAATGAGAGACTTGGAATATTAACAAAACTCAAAATGTGTGTTTTTTTTACTGTTAGCAATATGACAGTGCACTACACAGCCATAAAGGGTTGAGTGTATTTTTTAGAGCAGAGATTCTTAACCTGTGGACCGCGGCCTACAATTGGGCCACCTTGAGGGCCTCAAAAGAACAATAGTTTTAAACTTWGGGCCGCAGAGGGCCGTGGGACCGCATTGATTTTGAATAAGGTGCAATACACTTTATCACCACTAGTAGCAGTAGTGCACCACTCAGATGTTTAACAACTTTTTTTATATGTAGAAGAACCTTAGATACCTGTTGAAAATGGAAACTTATTTTAAATGAAAAGTAGAAGCAAAAATGAAGGTAACTCATCAAAACAGGTCAAAGTTTGTCACTAATATGAAGTGCAGCTTCTGGTTCTATCATGCAGCATTTTAAAAGTTCAAAACATTATCAAATACATTTGCAGATACAGCTATATTTTAATTTGCACTTTATCAAATTACTTTTGTAGTTTATTTATTAATATTTTTAATGTATTTTAAAGAAACCTTAAACTTGTCAAAAAGCTGTTGTTACTGTTGTTTGTCATAATAGCATCTTGTGATTATTTGACAGGAGTTTTACATTTAAAATGTAAGTGTATTTAATTTAGTTATAATGTAAATACAATAAAATTAAACCAAGATTTTGAATAATTATCATTTTGATCCATACATTGGTAATGTCTGACTGGGCCTTGTGCCACTTTAAGTTCAATAAATTGGGCCCCGAGGTCAAAAAGGTTAAGAACCCGTGCTTTAGAGCATTCTCACCTTCTTATTGTTGAGCTTAATTTCATGTGGCTCCAACTGGTCAAAATTTCTATTGGAGCAAAAACAAAAGAAACACACAAAGAAAGTATTTAACTTGTCTGCCTGTCAGGACAAGATGAATAATAAATAATGTAGACATGGCATACATTTTGTCTGGATGGAAGTGGTGCAGAATGGCACAGAAGGCCAGGCCGTTTCTCCAGGATGTGCTGAAGTTTGTGACCTTTACTCCGTTGTATTTATTGGCGATGCTCTGACACCACTGGAGCAGTGACTGGCTGGAGTTCACAAGGTCCTGAAGGAAAGAAGCCTAACTCGGGTTAATATGAATATATTAGGGTTCATATGAGTGTCGGTCTTCTATACKTTCACCTCAGCTGTGTCGTCCTTCCCATCAGCCTCCTCTCTGATCACAAGTGCAGGATCTTCAGCCTTAACTTCAGGGGATTCCTCCTCCACTAACGTAGGCAGCCAAGAAGTCTTAATCTCTTGTTGGGCACGAACCTCGGTGTGATGACTCAAAGTCTCCTTTGGACCATCAGGGATGTGTGATGCTTGGTGTTTTACTCTTCGAGGGGACAAAACAAAAGACAGATGATGTTAATAGGGAACAGATGTTTTCAAAAAAACAACAAGCGCATCCTTTTTGCAAGCAACGAGAAAGAGTCATGCAAACGTAGGATGATGAGCAAGCTATTGGAGTTAGACAGAAGAAGACAAAACTTGAAGAATTCAAGATCTGAGTTCTGGGTTTGTTGCATCAAACCAGATTAAAGATGATTAAATCTTTTTTTTCCCCAGTGAAGTCACACATTTGTTTTAGATATCTGAATATTTACACACAAACACCCAAAGAACACAACATGGTGGTAAACCTCCACAACAGCAAGCTAAGAAGATCACATAGACAAGAAGCTCAAACCAAGCCTCAGCTCACTCAGATAAAGACAAAGTTATGTCAAAACAAGATCAGACAACATTTGAACAAGAGACTTYCCAAACCAAGTCCAAAGCTAAAGGGGTTTTAGAGGTAATTTCCACCTGAAAATACACAGCAAAATAAAGCAAGAATAGCTCCACAGTTATAAGGTCTAAATGCTAACTCTTGGTTCATCTGTAAAGTTAAGATCTTAAAGATAATTTATTAAGTGAAACAACTATTGTAACTCTTACTGTGCCTGAGTTATTTGTGATTAAATAAAGAAAATTTGTAATTCTTTTAGCCTCACCTTAATTTTTTTAAAATCAACAGTRCAAAACACAATGAAAACTCTCGTGAAAACCCAGGAATGAACTTAGATTTGATACATCTACATCTTGAGAAAAATTGTAGCAAAGTAGGAGTGAATAAGTTGAAGTATATTCATTTCACAAAGGTTTTAGTGAGCAGTGTGCCAGGCGGAAATGGTATTTTGGCACAATTTAGCCAAAGGTACCCAAAACTGTGCCAAATGRGTTTTTTACTTTATAAAAGAGAATCTGATCTAATAAAAATGTTGATTTCTATTGTAGGACTCATTCTGCGTATGACATAACCTTTTCTTTTTACATTTATACTGTGCATCATCAAAATCTTTCATTGTGCACACCACGAAATCACTGAATGGAGCCTAACTCTGCCTGAACGTTTTACACATGAGGGCTGTTATTTATTCTCTCAGTTACGCACAAACTTCATGTCACCAAACAAAGAGTAACACAGTGTCAAGATATATCCCTGAATTTGTGAGAGCTTCATATTTTCAAAGATACCAAAGGGAGAGGTATGCAACCAAAACTTGCACAGCTACAGATGCGCAGAACTTCCTGATACTGAAACGGTCTGCGACGGTTCAAGTAACTTACAAATGTTTATTTAGCTCTAAAATCATAAATATTTATCCAAAAATAATTTGGCGACTCATTTTAAAAACATTAAAGACCTTTTGTGACAGACAGAAAAAACTTTGGGATAAATAAGTTTTACATCTACTTTAGCAAACAATGAATGACACCATCTATGGGCCCTGTCAATGCTGTGCACTGTAGAGCAGTGGTTCCCAAACTTTTATCTTCTGACCCACAAAATATCCATGGCAAAAACTTGTGATCCAAAATATTACTGGTCTGAGTACACAAACTGTTAATAACCCAAAAAACACAGGCTGTTTGACAATCTAAACAGCTTATACACAAATATAAATACTTACTTTTACTTATTTTGTGTTTTTGTAATAGTTATAGGGAAAATATTACATCAGCAATTATTTTATTACCCTTTAAAATGATTTCTGGAGATTATCCAAGGTGCTTCATGACCCATAATTGGGTTCCAAGCCCAACTTTGGGAACCAAAGTGCAGTGGTTCCCAAAGTTTTCAGCTTTTGACTCACAAAATAACAGTAGCCGAGACCTGTGCCCACAACTATTTTTGGATGGTAAACATTTGTATCAGGCCAACTAAACATGGGCACAGTAACAATATTTTTTAAATTACATTTATCCATTTTAAATACACTAACCTCACTCCTTTGTAACAACTAAGGCAAAAATGTAATTATTCCGAAAATCTTTTCAGGACCCCACCTTGATGTTTCAGGACCCCACTTTGGGTCCCGACCCCAACTTTGGGAAACTGCTGTAGAGTATGGATCAAAACTCTTGCACCCCAAAGAAAAGCAAGATAACATTGCTGTTCTGTTTTTACTGTAAAAGTACWTTATCCTTCCTTCAACTAAGTATTTGAGAGCAGAACAGGCTCACAGATCCAGCTTACACTTTGTCCCGTTCAAGCGTCTCCTCTGTGTCATTTAGCATTACTTCCTGCAGGGCGTCTGAACAGAGCCGACTCCGAACTGTGTCTTCAGGAACATCTGAACTGCTTTGAATCTCCGTGACCTCACGTTCAAGATCGCCAGGGGCTGGAATGAGCCGTTTCATACAGCGAGAACTGGAGACGGGGGATATATCTCCTGACAACAGGCGGATTTTAGCCAGCAGGATTCTCTCCTCTTCTTGGAGCTGCTGGTCTTTGGAGAGCCTATTGGGAACGTTGGCGTCTGAGTGCTCCTTATAAACGGAGATCCTCTTTTCCGTTTCAGAACGTGCRTCTATTTTTGCGTTGACGTGTTTCTTACTGATGTTTGTGTGTGTTTTGCTGGCTTTTGAGTTGCTGTTTTTGTTTTGTGGAAGGGGCAAAGGAACCACTGGTGACTCAACAAATTCAACTTCCTTTTGAGTTGTTTTGCTAAAATCATTCTGTTCTTTTACTGGCTGATCAGTGACAGAAGGTTTAGATTTATTTGGCCACCTAACGTCAGAACTTTGATGAGTTTGTTCAGTGCAGGAAGGTGAAGAGGGCTTCTGGGCTACAGCAGGGGATGGACTTCCTGGGCTGAGGACAGAAAAGAAGAATTCAGAACTGAACTCAAGAGGCTGACTGAAGTAGCAGATCCAGCCAYGGCTCTTGGCATGCAACATTCTGCTTTGGAAACAAACACCCCAAGAAGCAAGACAGCCATCTTTGTTAATGTTGCAAAGCCTGAAAAATGTGTTGAACTGAGGGTAGAGAATGGTCCTGAATAATTTTTTCCACACTTCTTGGATGTTTGGACAAGCCACCCCCCTGCCAAGTAATCCCAGACCAAAAGTGTTATGTTACAGTTTTGTAAATTGCACCAAGTCTGACCAAACTTAAATTCAATTTGGAAATTTTGACTTATAAGTATAAATGGAAAGCTCCACAAGCCAATGCATGCCAACCTACATGTTTCATTACCACAAAGACACATTAACAAATGCGCTTTTGCCATATTTTGGAACATCATACTCAATAAATAAATAAATAAATAAATAAATAAATAAATAAACAGATTGATTTTACTGTTACAGCTGAGAGTATTCAGAAGCAACTTACTGGATGGCTAAAATAAAGAACTTGATTGTCCAGGGCACTGTAAACCCTAATAAGGTCACAGAACTCAAAACTTATTTTGTAACAAATTACACAAAAATATTTTAGTGATGTTTTTAAATGTTTTCAGTTTACATGAAATAAAAATTACATGTGCAGTTGCCTTAAATTATCTCAACGTTACCTTATAAATATTTATTTTTCTCAACTTATGATTAGGGAGTAGTTCACTCAAAATTTTCAATATTTTCAACTCAAAACAGTGCACGTGTCAAGCACAATATTGTAGCATGACACCTCACAGCTACAGAGAGAGGTGTAGCTCTTGTTGTGGTTCAAGACTTCACCACCAGGTGGCGGTTTTGAAGAACCTTTATTGGCTGTGTCCAAAACGACAGAGGTGGGCCGGGTCCTTGGTAGATAGGGAGGACCGGAAAAAAAGAGGCTGTGAATTTGGACGGTCTAGCCCCCCCTCCACCCTGGCGTATGTCATGTCACCTAGCAACCATGACGGCACTAAACAGAAGCAAAAATAGATCAAAATTAGAAAAATATCAATATATTAGC